CTGTCATGTGAAATTAGTTGTCTGGCAAGCCATTTGAGTTGCCTGTCACTTCATTTTGAATTGTTGAAACTAGGTTTGTAGTTGTCTGTCATGTGAAATTAGTTGTCTGGCATGCCATTTGAGCTGTCTGTCATTTCATTTTGAATTGTTGAAACTAGGTTTGTAGTTGTCGGTCATGTGAAATTAGTTATCTGGCAAACCATCTGAGTTGTCTGTCACTTCATTTTGAACTGTTAAAACTAGGTTTGTAGTTGTCTGTCATGTGAAATTAGTTACATGGCAAGTCATTTGAGTTGTCTGTCACTTCATTTTGAAATGTTGAAACTAGGTTTGTAGTTGTCTGTCATGTGAAATTAGTTGTCTGGCAAGCCATTTGATGAGTTGTCTGTCACTTCATTTTGAACTGTTGAAACTAGGTTTGTAGTTGTTTGTCATGTGAAATTAGTTGTCTGGCAAGCCTTCTAAGTTGTCTGTAGGTTATTCAATTCAACCTTTACTACAATACATAAATTGTCTGTATAAGTTTCGTAAATATTTGTCTTGGTTATACTTGTCTGTTTATAGGTCCGAAGAATGTGGAGCGATGGTTGCATCCTTTGCAGAGCACCTGTTAATGGGAAAGCTCTTGGTTCCAGAGTGTGAATATGCAAACATGTGGAACAAGAGATGTCAATATGCTGTTTGTTTGTGGCGATTGAAGAGGGTGGAAGAAGCATATGAATTCCTTAGAAATGTGGGAATGTTTTTATGGGTTGTTTAATGCAGTTGCAAACATTATGGATGTCTGTCTACAAAATGTGTGGAATATTGTACAACTGTTAATGTTAATGTCGTACAATGTTCAATAATTGGATGAGATTTTTTTTTTTTGAATATGTTGCAAACCTTACACATGTGACATTTAAGTAAATGCGGATATGTAGTTGTGCAATGTTGTACATTGGGTTATGTTAGGTTGTCAAGTATAAATGAATCCTTTTTTGTTATGTTGTGAACTTTTACATATGTTTTTATTTAATTATGTAGTGTCTGTCTACGTATGCAATTTATTTGTCTATGTACGACATAGTTCTCTGTACGTGTGTGCGTATAGTCTTTTTAGGTATACATTTTGTCTATCTGGCAGTTAAGTTGTCTAGCTGTAGAAGAAATATACCATAACACAAACACATAATTTTCAAGACCACAAGTAATAGTTCATTCCAAACTATATACACTCCTGATTCACAATAACTGAAGGTTCAAATCCGACCACTTATCATAGACACAAAGCGTTAATACGGTCCAATCATGAATTTCATTTGAGGCATGACTTGTGTGCACTTCTCTTCATCTGTTATTTCAGAAAAGTATACATATTTCCTTCAACACATAATTATCATTTCGTCTCTACACACAAACAATTATCTTTATATTCGGCCAAATACAACAATGTTTCCAAACAAAAGCACTCACATTTATACAAAAACTACATTAACACTTACTCAACTCGTCAAACGTACATTATAATACATTTGTGAAATACTTGCATGCGAATACAGACATTTGTTCTACTTACACAAACAAATAAAGTTGTCTGGTCACACAGACATTAAACAACGCATAAAAACATTCCCACATTTCTAAGGAATTTTTATGCTTCTTCCACCCTCTTCAATCGCCACAAACGAACATCGTATTGACAACTCTTGTTCCACATTTTTGCATATTCACACTCTGGAACCAAGAGCTTTCCCATTAACAGGTGCTCTGCAAAGGATGCAACCATCGCTCCACATTCTTCGGACCTGTAGACAGACAAGTATAACCAATATAGATATTTATGACACTTATACAGACAATTTATGTATTGTAATAAAGGTTGAATTGAATACCCTACAGACAACTCAGAAGGCTTGCCAGACAACTAATATATTTATATATAAGAAAAGAATAAGTTGTGTAAAATACAATTTTGTCCTCAAATCCAATGTGTCCTCCAACCCTTAATTCACGCTCCTTCTCTCGGCTATCCACGTGTCTTCCTTTTTTGAAGGAGAAAAAAAAACTCTGATTCTGAAATCTGAATTGAGTAACTCCTCCTGCGTAAAATACACAAGCCAGAAGCGCACACCATTTTTTTCTCCGATGATTCCTCAACGGATCGGAGAGATTGGGATAATTCCTCAGCCATAAATTCCTAAACGCTTCTTCTTTCCATGTTTATCTTCTCCGCACACCAAAGACAAACTCCATCCATTACCAGCTCTTCTCCTGGCGATAAGTAGAGGCCAACCTTTTCTTCTCAGAATCTCCAAAAAAAAAACTGAACAAATTGGTCTGAAATTGGGAGGTATACGTTTCACCTCTCCATTACAATACTTCTGGCCAAATTACCAAATTGGTAAAAAAAAAGAGGGCTGTTGGACAGATTGGCAAAAAACAATTTGAGTCAAATTGGTAAAAAAAAAAGCCCTAGTGACTAATTGGTCAATTTTTGTAGAGTGATAAACTTTTGATCCTCGACTTTAAAATTCCCGACATTTCATATTATAAGTATTGTGAAATTGACACATGCAGTCCTTTTACTTTGATTTTGTCATCGAAAGTGGAGGTCTAAAAATGTCAATGACCGTGTTTGATAATAACAGTTGTCTACTACGTTATAGCCGGTTGAGTCAACATATTGATAATAGTGGATTCCATTAGCTTTTATAATTAACTAACCGCTTTTTTGTCAGAAATAAAGTGTTAGTAACTTAACTATTTGTGATTAAATGTTAAGACGTAAAATAACCATAAAAATATGAATTTAAAAGCATATATATTTATCTTGACTTTATTTATTTTATTTTTATTAAGTCTTTCAAATGGTTTTAAAAATTATATTAACTTTTATTTTAAAAAACTATGGAGTAGATTTAAAAAAACAACTAATAAATAGTCATATGGAGTAGAATTCTCGAGGAGATTTTTTAAATGGAGTAGATTTAAAAGAACTAATAAATAGTCATATTTAAAATACTTATACTAAAAATATATGAATTTATATGTGTGTACTCGCATCAATGTACATATCGTAAAAATGATAGTGTTATTAATTATTTAAAATAAACGTAAACATATTTTTTAAAACTTTTTCCAAGACTTATTTAAAATAAAAAAAATAAAATTAATTTAAATATATAAACTTTTAAATTCATTTTTAACGGTCATTTTACGTTTGAAAAGCTAATTGCAAATTTTATGTCACTTACATTGTATTTCAAAACGATAATGAAATCGGTTTAGTTAAAAAAACTAACGGAATCCGCTCATATCAATCTGCTGATACAACTAGCTATGAGCTAGCAAATAACCGCTATTTCAAATAAGATCGTTGACATTTTTAGACCTCCACTTTTGACAACAAAATCAAAGTAAAAGGACTGCAAATGTCAATTTCACAATACTTATAATATGAAATGTCGGGAATTCTAAAGTCAAGAATCAAAAGTTTATCACTCTAAGAAAATTGACTAATTTGTCACTAAGGCTTCGTTTTTTTATACCAATTTGACTCAAAATGTTTTTTTTACCAATCTGTCCAATCGCCCTCTTTTTTTGTTTACCAATTTGGTAATTTGGCCCAATACTTCTCTCATCCAATCGGCTCTCCATCCATTGTATTGCCTCTCTACAGGTATGTTGTCTCTTCTGCTCATTCCATATCTTTGTAAGCTTTTTGAATATATATATATATATATACACACACACACACATATATATATACATACATATATATATATATATATATATATATATATATATATATATATATATATACATACCTATATAGGGAGCGGTTCCGGTAAGAACAGATCTTAGGAGAAAAATGAGAATGAATCTGGACCGTTGGATTGTATTAGGTGGAACCAAATTGTGCATTTGGTGAAACTGAAATGTGCATTAAATGATATTGAAATGTGCAAAATAAAAATTTAAACTCAAGTGTGCATTAGATGAAACTGATATGTGCGGAAAAAGAGTACAAAAATAACATCACATCGTACTTTTTATTCTGCACATTTTAGTTTCACCTAGTGCACATTTCAATTTCACGTAATGCACAATTCAACTGCACATAATGCCACTCTATCGTATCCTTTGTGATGCACATTTCAATTTCACCTAATGCACATTATAGTTTCATCTGATGCACACTGAATTTCTCTTGAAGCAAATCTAACGGTCCAGATTTGTTCTCATTTCTCTCATAAGATCGTGTTCTTATTTGAACCAAAACCTATATATATACATATACTGTGACACCGCACCCGAACGTCCTTGAAAATTCAATTTAAATTCAAATATATGTATCGAATTTCCGACTCCAAACAATTGTAAAACGATTAATGTCCTACGTAGTGCATGGTTGAATATCGTACTATTCAAACTCGTACATTAGTGTCGGGTTTTGCAAATACTTATTCGGGACTTATTAATAAATAAAAGAGCCCAATAATACGTATGACAAATGTCAAATAAGTGATTGAATGATTAAGGAAGAATACAAATGCCTATAACCCCACCTTGGGCCTTATTGAGCTAAATAATGGGAGTAGGATTTTCCTTCTATAATATTCATCAAGTAAATTATTGGGACGAGCCTACACATATTGGAGATCAATAATGTGATTTAGGAAGTTGACTTGTTCTAAGTAAATTAGGATGAGTACAAAAAGACATTTTTGACAAAGATAAAACAATAGGACCCATCTTCCCATTTTTGGAAGTATTGGTAGATATTTTGGACCCCAAATTTAATGGGATCAATTGGGAACCACTCCACATGATATTAGTACCTGCAAGACAAGGAAAATATGTGAGAAGACTCACCTTGGCCGCACCACATGGAGAAGCACTGCCCATGACACAATTGGAATCAAATTTTGGGGCCACCACCACTGTTTTCGCACAAACAGGTGTGCTGTTTTGTCTCCCTTCATTTTGAGAGTTGTACTCGTCCAAATGAGGTGTATAAGGTGTCCTTGGATAGCCTTTGAAGTCTATTTTCATAATTGAGTGGTATCTGTTCGAGAGGAGTGAGTAATCATCCAAAAATCGATCTGAAGCGAGCAGTGGTCTGTGAATTCGAGCTGTGAGAGTGCTGAGACTGTTTGGTTGATATCTCGAGTTTTACCAATCCAATTAAGGCGTGTGAGATACCAAAAGAAAGCTCTCAAGACGAGGAATCCGTGAAGGTCTGGTTTGCATCAATCGGAGTAGAGGAAGGCTTCCAAATCGTCCGAGAAAAACACAACCTCGCAGAAACGGATTTACTCTTCTAAAGTGAGTTGTTAACCCCAAATCCTTTCCATTCATTTTCCAAATGATATGAACGATTGGTGGGACTATTGTACACTAATCCAAGTGTATAATATGTCCTTGAAAAGTTATTTTATTGATGTAAAGGTTAGATACTAACCTAAAGCAAATATTGGAAAACTAGGAATGAATCGAGTTAGCCGGAAAACACCCGTTCTAGGGGCTGTTTTCGTATCAACGATTAGGGGTTGAAATAGCAACTTGAGGAAGCTGTTTAACACCCATTTTCAAGCAAGGAACCAGTTCTCAATCTTCCTTGGCCGAGGCTTTGGTCATTGGATCGAGAAGGAAGGTTTTAAAGCTCATTTGAGGTGAGGACCGACATCTAGTTGCTTACAACTTGTAGGTTATGCATGAGATTACCTAAATGCTTGAGTCATGTTTTTGTGAATAAATATGCTTGAACATGATATGAATGATAAGTAATGGACTTGACCACGAATTGAAACCATATTGATGAATATGGAGTCATGTGAGATAAAAGTATGCTAATATGGTAAATTGACCTTCCAACTCATGTATGAATGTTATGTGTATGTAAATGTATAATTTCATGATGATGCTTAGCACATGGGAGGCTGCCACATATCTATTGATATGGAGGGGCTACCATTTATGATAAATGAGTTGTAGGAATAATCTTAATAGTATTGTGATGCTAGTTAAGGATTGTTCAAAATGTTGATAGAATCAAACTTAAGGTTTGAGTTGTTTGTGATGAACTTGAATAAGATTCAAGTGTCAAGTGTGATTGTATGAAGTAGGAGATCTATGGTGTGATTATATGAAGTAGGAGATCTATGGTGTGATTATATGAAGTAGGAGATCTATGGTGTGATTATATGAAGTAGGAGATCTATGGTGTGATTATATGAAGTAGGAGATCTATGGTGGGATTGTATGAAGTAGGAGATCTATGGGGTGAATACATGAAGTAGGAGATCTATGATATGATTATATGAAGTAGGAGATCTATGATGCGAGTGCATGATGATGTACTCGAGCCTAACTCTAGAAATGAGAAGTTATATTAGGGTTGGACCCTATGTATTGTCGTGACTATTAGTCACGGGGTTTGGGAAATGTTTTATAACAAACACGGGCCTTTGAGCCGACTACTTGACTTTATATAAAGTAAGTATGTATTTTGAAAGGGGTAATCTGGGATTACGGCCTATACTATATTATCACCCTATTTGAGGGTCTTGTGTGTGAAATACTTGTTGTATATCTATTAGATGCCTGCCACACCAGCACTTTATAGCCCTATAGAGTGCTGACCCCTTCGGGGGCGTCCCACCACCATTTTTCAGGTTGAGGCTAGAGCTTGCTTCCTGTGCTCGTTGCTCGAGAGATCATATAGGAGGGAAGACTTGGTTCGTGCTTCCTCCATTCTGTTTTTAAACCTTTCTAAACATGCTCATGGATATTTTACTATGGAGCCTGCGTGCTCATGAAATGCCTTGTGTGGCCCTTTTGTTTTAAACAATGTTTCCGCTGCGTTATGAATTACTTATTATGTTTGTTTATGGATGTATATGTGTGAATGATATTCAAGACGCCTTGTATAATATGAATGTGTTGGACTGCGGTTGACTATTCGTATTGTACGGCGGGTTGTTGACGTGTCCGGATAGGTCCGGGGCGTGACAATTAAGTTGGTATCAGAGCCTTAGTCCATAAACTTCATAATGAAGTCTCAAAATTCTCTTTTCAAAATGTTTTTTTTTTTTGAAAACCATGAGCAAAAACGTTTTGTACTTAAGAACTTTTGGTGTTTGAGTTACAAGGTCTCTAATTGTTAAGATGGCGCCCTTAACGATTGGTATGGCGGCGACTTGGCCCAAGAGATGTCTTAAGTACCTATCTGTCAGTTGACATTTGAAACGAGTCTAATGACTCATTCCAATTATTTCTTTCAGTGATGGAGGGTGATTGTGGTACTATGAATAGGGAGAACTCGGAAGGGTTTGCACCGGGTGGAACCGGGCATGCCAACCGAGAAAAGCCCGTAGGAATAAAGGTTCACGAAATTCTAGAAGCTCAAATCGTGAGTGGCGGTCATGTTAGAACCAATGAAGAATCACCTTGTCATAGCAAAATTGAAACACTCAAGGCTTCGGGTGACGAGGGAGATGATTTGAGTGATGAGAACCTTGATGGTGCACCCATTGAACAAATGGGCATGGTCATAGATTGGCTTCAACGTGAACGTGTGAGGCTTATACAAAAACGCCAAGCTAGGCAAGCTGAGGCATACCGTTAGTAAGGAAAAGGAGGTGGGGAGACAACGATTCCCAAAGACATTCAAGAAGGACAAATGTTGAGGGTGACAAAACCTTCAGGGCGCAGACACTATCACTTGAGTGGAGTCGGGTCTCGGGTGGCCAGAACTCGAGGTCAAAGGGTCCGAGGGTACCTAGGTGCAACAATTGCAAGAAACACCACTCGGGTAAGTGTCACGACCCTCCTAAGTGCTATCATTGCACAGAGGTCGGGCACACGAGAGTGAGCTGCCCACAAACTGTGCAAAACCAAACTTCGGGGTCAAGTGGTGGAACTACAAGAAATGAAAACCAAACCGAGGTTTCTCAAGGGAGCAGGGGACATGGGGGAGCAAGCACGAGCAATGCGCCATCCGTGAACCAAGGAAGGACCCAAGCTAGGGTCTATGCGATGACAGAGGCGGATGCTCAAGCTAACCCGGATTCCGTTGCAGGTATTGCCTCCCGTATACTAGTGTTTTATCCTTAATTAGTCCATAAATTAAGGTTACTAATCGTTGGGATCATTGCACGAAATTTTGGGATCAAACGGAGCGAAATCGGGCGAAAGACGGCTGATTTCCGCCAACGCACACCAGGCTGGACCATACGCACGGCCGTGCGTTGTCCGTGCGTTGGTCCGTGCGTTGGTGGCAGTAGCAACCGGGAAGAAATTGCTATACGCACGGCCGTGCGTTGTCCGTGCGTTGGTCCGTGCGTTGGTGGCAGTAGCAACCGGGAAGAAATTGCTATACGCACGGATGTGCGTTGCCCGTGCGTTGGTCCGTGCGTTGGTGGCAGTAGCTCCGTTTTGAGGTTATAAGACACGCACGCCGTGCGTACCTCCTAGGCACGCCGTGCGTACCTCCTGGACAGCCCAAAGTCGACTTTTTCGCGCCGTATTGCAACGTTAAGACCCGTTCTTGATCCCAAACACGTGTGTGAACATAATAAACCTCTCTAAATGAGTAGGGAGGGTAGGAAAGATGTCTTACATGGTTCATGAATGTAGGGACACTAAAGATTAATGGGAAGGATGCGCGAATCCTTATCGATACCGGGGCGCAACGTTCATTTGTGAATGAAGCGTTCGCCAAGAGTTTGGAAGTGCAATCCGCACCATTGATGCAAACCTTAGTGGTATCAACACCACTAGGGGATGACGTGGAAACAACTCATTACTATCCATCTTGTGGGGTGGAAGTTAATGGTCAAACCTTGACGTGTGACTTCGTACCGCTGAGCATGATTGAATTCGATGCAATCCTAGGGTTGGATTGGCTAGAAAGGAACCATGCTAGGGTAGATTGCTACACGAAGGTTCTTAAACTCGAAGGCAATGATGGGGAGACTCTACGCTTCGAGGGCGATCGAGGGAGATCAAATAGCTGTATCATATCCGCCGTGAGAGCGAGAAGTATGATGAGAAAGGGATGCCACGCATATCTAGCATACGTGGTTGACAAAACCAAAGAGGAAACGAACATCGATGATGTGAGGGTGGTTTGTAAGTATCCGGATGTCTTCCCTAAAGACCTACCGGGGCTTCCACCTGATAGGGAGATTGAATTTGTGATCGAGGTCGAGCCTGGTACCAAACCAATCTCCATACCGCCATACCGTATGACACCCGCTGAACTTAACGAGTTGAAAACCCAATTGCAAGAGCTTTTGGATAATGGTTTCATTAGACCAAGCCACTCCCCGTGGGGAGCACCAGTTCTTTTTGTGAAAAAGAAAGATGGGACACTTCGAATGTGTATTGACTATCGTCAACTGAACAAGGTCACAATCAAGAATAGGTATCCCTTGCCTAGGATTGATGACTTGTTTGATCAACTACGAGTGGCGACTATGTTTTCAAAGATTGACTTGAGGTCGGGTTACCATCAACCGAAGATTAAGGAAGATGACATACCAAAAGTGCTTTTCGCACAAGGTATGAGCACTTTGAATTCCTTGTTATGTCGTTTGGGTTAACAAACGCCCCAGCGGCATTCATGGACTTGGTGAATCGAGTATTTCATATATACTTGGACCGAATTGTGATTGTGTTCATATATGACATCTTAATTTACTCAAGGAGTGAAGAAGAACATGAGCGGCACTTGGTCCTGGATCTTGAAACACTACGAGAGAAGCAATTTTGCGCCAAGTTCTCTAAGTGCGAGTTTTGGCTTAAAGAGATTGGCTTTCTTGGGCATGTAGTTTCTGAGTCAGGCATTGCCGTGGATAACAAGAAGATTGGGGCTATCACATAATGGGAAAGGCCTAAGAACGTGAAGGAGATTCGTAGTTTCCTCGGGCTAGCGGGTTACTACAGATAATTCGTGGAGAAGTTCTCAGTTTTAGCATCGCCATTGACGAAGCTCACTCGAAAGGGAGCTAAGTTTATATGGGATGACAAATGTGAGAAAGGATTCATCGAACTGAAGAAGAGATTGACCGAGGCACCGGTACTTGCATTACCCAAACAGGGTGTGGGGTACGATGTCTATAGTGACGCGAGCATCCAAGGGTTTGGGTGTGCGTTGATGCAGGAGGGGAGGGTAACTGCCTATGCTTCACGACAGTTGAAGAAGCATGAGGTAAAATTATCCTACCCATGATCTGGAGCTGGGAGCAGTAGTGTTTGCACTGAAGAATTGGAGACATTATCTCTACGGAGAGACATGTCACATATATACTAATCATAAGAGCTTGAAGTACGTGTTTACTCAAAAATAGTTAAACATGAGACAGAGACGGTGGATGGAGTCGATAAAGGACTACCATCTAGTTATTGAGTACCATCCAGGTAAGGCAAACGTTGTAGCAGTTGCCCTTAGTCGGAAGAGTTCGTCTGGGGCATTGTTGACTAGTTTGAGGGCACTGAGGGCCCAATTGGATGTATCTAGCGACGGTGCCTTATTAGCACGATTCGAGGTGAGCCGACCTTACTTGATGAGATCAAGAAGGGTCAAGAGACTGACGTAGAACTTATAAAGGCCCGGGAACGCATGCAAGCGGGACCGGTGGAGCATTTCAGGGAAAGAGATGATAGTCTCTTGTTATTTCGTGACCTAGTGTGTGTACCGTCAGATGATGAGCTCTGAAAGTCCATCTTAGAGGAGGCTCATTCATCGGCTTATGCCATGCACCCGGGGGGCACGAAAATGTATCGTGATTTGAAAGAAAGTTACTTGTGGTCTGGTATGAAGAGGGAAATAGCTGAATACATTAGTCGATGCCTTACTTGTCAGCAAGTTAAGGCAGAACATCAGCATCCAGCAGGCTTGTTACAACCACTTTCCATTCCTGAATGGAAGTGGGAACATGTGACTATGGATTTCGTGGTAGGTTTACCACGAACAATTCGGAACTATGATGCAGTTTGGGTTGTTGTGGATAGGCTCACGAAGAGTGCACACTTCTTGCCTATCAACACTACCTACCCACTTGAGAGGTTAGCCAAATTGTATACGGATGAGATCGTGAGGCTGCATGGGGTCCCAGTGACCATTGTATCCGATAGAGACCCACGATTCACATCACGTTTTGGCCGAAATTCCAGGAGTCTATGGGAACGAGGTTGAAGTTCAGTACTGCTTTCCATCCACAGACGGATGGGCAGTCTGAAAGGGTTATACAGATCTTAGAGGATATGCTGAGGGCTTGTGCGTTAGAGTTCCAAGGAAGTTGGGACAACCACTTAGCACTCGTGGAGTTTGCCTATAACAACAGTTATCAGGCAAGTATCGGCATGCCTCCATATGAAGCATCGTATGGGAGGAGGTGTCGTACACCGTTATGCTGAGACGAGGTTGGCATGGCCAAACTCGAGGGTACTGAGTTGGTTGAGATCACCAAGTCAAGGGTGAAGTTGATTCGAGAGAGACTCAAAGCGGCTCAGGATAGACAAAAGAGTTATGCAGATAAGCGTCGAAGAACCTTAGAGTTTAAGGTTGAGGACGAGGTATTCTTGAAAGTTTCTCCTTGGAAAGGAATCATTCGATTCCAAACCCGAGGAAAGCTTAACCCACGATACATAGGTCCATTCAGAATTATAGAGAGGATTGGGGCCGTTGCATATCGTCTACAGTTGACTTCTGAATTAGAGAAGATACATAATGTGTTTCATGTATCCATGCTTAAGAAGTATGTACATGATCCCTCCCACGTATTGGAAAAGCCGCCTGTAGAGGTACGTGAGGATTTGAACTACGCTGTGCAACCAATCAAGGTCACCGATAGAAAGGTGAAGAAACTGAGGAGCAAAGAAGTCCCAATGGTTAAAGTCCTTTGGAAGAGCGATCGGGTCAAAGAAGAGACATGGGAAACAGAGGCCTTGATGAGGAAGCAGTACGCTTCTCTATTCGAGTAGAGCTGTGAATTTCGGGGACGAAATTCCTGTTAAGGGGGGGTGAACTTGTGACACCGCACCCGAACGTCCTTGAAAATTCAATTTAAATTCAAATATATGTATCGAATTTCCGACTCCAAACAATTGTAAAACGATTAATGTCCTACGTAGTGCATGGTTGAATATCGTACTATTCAAACTCGTACATTAGTGTCGGGTTTTGCAAATACTTATTCGGGACTTATTAATAAATAAAAGAGCCCAATAATACGTATGACAAATGTCAAATAAGTGATTGAATGATTAAGGAAGAATACAAATGCCTATAACCCCACCTTGGGCCTTATTGAGCTAAATAATGGGAGTAGGATTTTCCTTCTATAATATTCATCAAGTAAATTATTGGGACGAGCCTACACATATTGGAGATCAATAATGTGATTTAGGAAGTTGACTTGTTCTAAGTAAATTAGGATGAGTACAAAAAGACATTTTTGACAAAGATAAAACAATAGGACCCATCTTCCCATTTTTGGAAGTATTGGTAGATATTTTGGACCCCAAATTTAATGGGATCAATTGGGAACCACTCCACATGATATTAGTACCTGCAAGACAAGGAAAATATGTGAGAAGACTCACCTTGGCCGCACCACATGGAGAAGCACTGCCCATGACACAATTGGAATCAAATTTTGGGGCCACCACCACTGTTTTCGCACAAACAGGTGTGCTGTTTTGTCTCCCTTCATTTTGAGAGTTGTACTCGTCCAAATGAGGTGTATAAGGTGTCCTTGGATAGCCTTTGAAGTCTATTTTCATAATTGAGTGGTATCTGTTCGAGAGGAGTGAGTAATCATCCAAAAATCGATCTGAAGCGAGCAGTGGTCTGTGAATTCGAGCTGTGAGAGTGCTGAGACTGTTTGGTTGATATCTCGAGTTTTACCAATCCAATTAAGGCGTGTGAGATACCAAAAGAAAGCTCTCAAGACGAGGAATCCGTGAAGGTCTGGTTTGCATCAATCGGAGTAGAGGAAGGCTTCCAAATCGTCCGAGCAAAACACAACCTCGCAGAAACGGATTTACTCTTCTAAAGTGAGTTGTTAACCCCAAATCCTTTCCATTCATTTTCCAAATGATATGAACGATTGGTGGGACTATTGTACACTAATCCAAGTGTATAATATGTCCTTGAAAAGTTATTTTATTGATGTAAAGGTTAGATACTAACCTAAAGCAAATATTGGAAAACTAGGAATGAATCGAGTTAGCCGGAAAACACCCGTTCTAGGGGCTGTTTTCGTATCAACGATTAGGGGTTGAAATAGCAACTTGAGGAAGCTGTTTAACACCCATTTTCAAGCAAGGAACCAGTTCTCAATCTTCCTTGGCCGAGGCTTTGGTCATTGGATCGAGAAGGAAGGTTTTAAAGCTCATTTGAGGTGAGGACCGACATCTAGTTGCTTACAACTTGTAGGTTATGCATGAGATTACCTAAATGCTTGAGTCATGTTTTTGTGAATAAATATGCTTGAACATGATATGAATGATAAGTAATGGACTTGACCACGAATTGAAACCATATTGATGAATATGGAGTCATGTGAGATAAAAGTATGCTAATATGGTAAATTGACCTTCCAACTCATGTATGAATGTTATGTGTATGTAAATGTATAATTTCATGATGATGCTTAGCACATGGGAGGCTGCCACATATCTATTGATATGGAGGGGCTACCATTTATGATAAATGAGTTGTAGGAATAATCTT